TTGTGAGTGTATGTGATAAAGCTTCAATCTTGAGTATCAAGCTTTTACGTTTTGTCAGTGAAAGATAATTTACTGTACTAAAATTTTCATTTGTTCACCAGCATACATGATCCCTTATTGTTATATTTGATTGTTTTGGCTCCTTGTCTTAAAGAACGAAACACAATTCGTTGAAAGTGTGGTTTTGCATTCTAAGGGGCAAAAAAAATATGTATGAGCTAGTGAAGATGTTGTTTAATATTCTGTTTACCCAATAAAGGTTTCTTTCCACTCTCGGTGCGTAACTTCCAGAACTCAAGTAACTCAGAATTAAGCTTCTGAAATGATGTTGATATAACAGTTATGCACACACCGAGTCAATAATCAAGAACACAACAACTCTAGAATGATATCAGATAGGTTTTGTGAATATTATAGTAATTCCAATGGTTAAGATCATGGGTCAGTTGAAACTAGACCACCAAGGAAACCTGGAAGCACTGGACGGCCGTTTCGTTCTATTGAATTTAGACATTAACACCGTCGGATGCCAGCTCAGCGGTCAAGTAGTTAAGTGCTCGCGCGCGAAACCAGTAAGTCTTGGGTTCGAATCTCGCGGGAGGCAAGGTCGTGGATGCGCGCTGCTGAGGAGTCCCGTGATAGAACGAAACGGCCGTCCAGTGCTTCCAGGTTTCCCAGGTTGGTCTCGCTTCAACTGACTCATGATCTTAACCATTGAAACTCTAGAATGAAACGGTTCTAAACAAAATAAATGATAGAGATTTACACTACTTGAGTAGTTTTTTATTAAGTCTATGCAACAAATAGGTATTTGTTAAACTGGTGACGATCAGCGTAAGAAATCAATCACATTAAACCATATAACGATTTCTTTTCAATAGAATAAGGTGTACCTTTCAAGCAGGAAAGGAGATACAACGATTATTCTTGTTTCTTACTTATTTTGTTTTCTGACATGACTTTTTCTACACTTAAAAGTATTGCCATATTTGTCATTTGTAACTTTTGAAGAGTCGAAATGTTTGAGAAAGTTCAAGTTGACTTAAATAATTCATTGATTCATGAGATAGATATGTAATACAATGCTTATACTAATCGTTTGGTGACGATCCATATTATTATTGTCTCTAGACGCTAATAGGATCATAATACCAGTAACTGTATCACCAACGGATTAGCAATTTATAAAATCTACAGTTATACATTAATAATAACCAACTATCTTCCTTCTGGCTGTGCTAATTCAATTTTTGTCACAAAATACATTATCTGATAACAAATAAATTACGATTATCATATAATTAGTTGTTATTGATTGAGATCATGAACCGATTAATGTTAGACCATCATTGAAAAAATTGGGAGCACCAGGAGGCTGTATCGTCCTGTTGTGGGACTCTTCAGCAGTGCGCATTCACGATACTGCTCGCGGAATTCAAACTCAGAGACTTCAGTCACGCGCCCGAATGATTAACCCATAGATCACTGAGGGGGCATCTAAATGTGTTTATATCTAACCTCAACCAATCCACTAAATTGCGTGACCATCTTCCATTGAACTGAGGTAGGTACCTGTATCTACTCGACACGGATTAGCTCCACGGGTCACGGCTTCTCACTAGAACTTCGAGAATTCCCTAACGAAGCTAGTCACTAGTGAATACATGGTACAATCGAAGATGGTGGCGCAATTTCGTGGATTGGTTGAGGTTAGATATTAACACCTTTGGATGACACCTCAGTAGTCTAGATGTTAAGCGTTCGTGAGCGAAAATGAAGGTCCTGGGTTCGAATCCCGTGAGCGGGATCGTGGATACGCACTGCTAAGGAGTCACACAATAGAATGAAACGGCCGTCCATTGCTTCCAGGTTTTCAATGATGGCCTAAGATCAATCGGTTCATGATCTCAATCAAAGACTTAATAATCTCCAAAACCCTTTACTGATAATTAGTTGTTATTAGGATTAATATCGAAACTCCAAATATGGGGCATACAAAAATATGTGGATACAAATATCTGTAAGCTAGAAGAACAGAAAAAGCCCATAAACTAACAACTTAGATTACATGACGTTCATATGCAACTTAAATGAACCGTTATTTCAAAAGGATTGGGATTTCAGCAGAAGAAATTTTTGTAAGCTCCGCCTGGAGCTCCTTCTGGGGCTACTGTCGATCCCGAAACCCGGATACAAGAGTAGGGTTGAGCATAGGGTTGGCGATCTCATCCCATAGAAAACTAACTCGCTAAAAAAACACTAATTGGAAAATAATTCATTATCAAGCATTGATCTTATTACTGCAATGATCAACCATGTAAGGATCTTACAATCAGCCAGTCAGTCAGTCAGTAACAACGTAGAACTTCGTACGTACGTACGTACATCAGTTCGAGTTGCCATACCACATTAGCACAGAGATGCAGTTGTCGACTCAAATCCCGTAGTGATAGAGGTAGTAAAAGTATAAGTAGTAATCGGAAACATAAGGGTTTGAAGATGTTATTCAAGGAGTATAATACAGCGAAATAAATTTGGGAAGTGGAAAAGAGACAAGGAGGAATAAGGAGATCAAAATTTGGGAGAACACAAAGAGTGTATGCACCTGCGCTATTGCAAACGATTTTGAGTCATGTCATTCAAGGTCTCTAACCATCGGTTGCTATCATCTCGCGGTCCCCAACTAGGTGGTCTACACCTACCAACATGGCTCAGTCCACTTGTCAGTGACTTCATGGATTTGTGCCATGTTTTATTCTGGCCGCCCCTAGCTTCCTTCCAACCTACTCCTATACCACTGAACATTGCACGTTGAGGCAGCCGGTGGTTGAGCATACGTAACACGTGTCCCAGCCATCTCAACTGATGAAGTTCCACTATGTCATCAATTGACTTGACATCCTTACCTAGTACCCGTTCCCTAACACCTGCATCACTTACTCGATGGTCCCAGGATGTACGAGCAATGCTTCGAAGACACCTATGATCGAATACTAGTAACCTATGAATATCCTCTACTCTTACCGGTCATGTTTCACTGCCATAAAGTAGGACGGAACGAACTGCTGCGCAGTAAACACGTCCCTTGGTCGGTAGACGGATATCTTGTCTACGCGATAAATGACGCAAGTTGGCAAAGACCAGTCAAGCCTTCTGTATGCGTGCTGAGGTTTCGTCACACATCAGACCACAAGGGCTGATGAGACTTCCAAGATAATTGAAGCGATCTACACTATAGTATGAACTAAGAATCCCAGAAATAACGTAGTCGGATCAAGAAGTAGTAGATAACCACAAACGAATATCCTGTATTTAGAATTCGAAGTCAAGCATTCAACAAGTACAAAGGAATCATTAGCTCATTCAAACACCACAGATATTCACTCTTCATTTTAAGATATTTGTGAAATACCATTTTCAATTAGTATAAAACATAAACTTAATGAATAATAAGACAAATCATTATGATTTTCAAAGATAGAACAGTACAGGCTGATGAATGTATCTTGTTATATTTCTTTCTTATTACAACCTATCTATTCCTATTGGTTAGTAGTCTTGGACATCAATTCACTTGACAAATCACCAAATCAGATCATGGTTGAACAGGAAAGAGATAATATTCCAAATAACAAGGGATAGATGGAAATAAGAAGCATAATAACAGAAATGTTAGTATCTTGATACTATTTACATGAAATGATTCTAAAGTGTTCTTCAAGTATCAACTAATGCTGATTGGTTAAGAATTAACCAATCAACATACAGCAACACAATTCTCCATGGAATATGCTTTAATTCAATCTATATCCCCTGTTAACATATCTGATCATTAAACTTTCATGCAATAACTTACAAAATAAGTCCTACTAAGATTTCTAAGGTTTTCATATTTACTATTCAAGAAAGAATTTTGTTATCTCCTATTAAAATGGTTACAAATCTCGAGATGGTGGGGGAAGATTTGTAACTCAGGTGGATGATTTTGATGAAGTTTTGTTCTCTGAGCTGGATGATTTGGTTGTGGCGCTTTCATTATTCTCCTTCTGAACGATATCATCATTAGCACAAACTTCAGATAGAAGTGAAATGTTCGAATTTCTCCATATGTGTTTCAAAGCCTATTCTGTACACCTTGACGTTGATTGGTTCTTATTGACCTTAATTTGTCATAGTTTACTTCTTTGTTTTGATTGTATCTCCCATTGGTTTGATTTTTGTTCCTATATTTGTGCATAATTTTCCTGATTGATTGATAAATTGTATCAATATTAATGTACTTGTTGATTGCTGATTACAAATCTCATATAGTTAATCACAGCCATTCAAATGAAATAGTTATACCCTACCAACTAAACGGACATAATAATATTATACAAATTCCATTGGAAATAATTATGACATTAAGATCAAAGGTGAATGTTTGGCGAGACTCTAATTTATGGACGACCTTTAAGTGACGCTAGACTAACCTTGAGTGTCCACTTAACAATCAGGACCAAATGAGGGTTGTGAACCTATGTGAGGCATTAGAATTATAATTTACAGTTGATGATTAAGCTTAGAAATTAAACTTGGGGGGGGGGTGTTCATCAGGAGGCGACATCAGTTATAATACCGAATCTTGATTGGCCAGCCCATAAATTATAGTCTCGTCGAATGTTTTTTTTGTTTACATACTAGTTAGTTATTTGTTAACTTACAAATTTATTCCTCTTTGGTAACTAAATAAAATGTTCTCTCCATATTTCGTGCTATTGAGAGAGGTATTAAAGGGAAAATAATCAAACTGCAAAATGATTGGCCCACTAAGATACATATATATACATAATATATACATAATTGTATATATTATGAACTGACACTCACTATGACCATTAAAACATGAAATGAATTCATTGTCAACTCTTACTACTTATTAATATCTTTATCAGTAGTATAAATTTGAAGACATAATTTATTAGACTCATATTAAAAACATAAAAAACAAAACAAAAATTATGAATAAACATACTGATAATTATCATTATGGTTACGAACAAGAAAAAGATCAATTAGAAACGATTACAAATCAATTAAATGTTTCATCAAATTATGAAAGGTAATTTATATTTCAATAGGATTGTTCTATACTACTTACAAATGTAATCGATACTTTTATTTGATATGATTGAATAATTTTTTCTGGTTAGCGTTTTTTTTTAGCGAGTTAGTTTTCTACGGGATGGGGTCACTAACCTCATGCCAAACCCTCCTCTTTAATCCGGGCTTGAGACCGGCAGTAGCCCCTGGAGGGACTCCAGGTGGAGTTATTTGATATGATTACGTAATTTTATTAGTAATGAAAAAAAAACACAACCTGCAATATACACTAAATTCCTATTATTAGGATGATGGGTGAGATTATAATGTATGAACAACCTTTGCACAATGTCAGACTGACTTTGAGAGTGTTCATTTAGTAACTAGGACCAAATGAGGATTATGAATCAGTGTTTTCATTACGAACTGACATTAGTTATTGATGCTAAAACTCTATTTAACCAAATAGATGAATGAATTTTGCATCAAACTCTGAGACCATTTATTTTATACCTGATTGATTCGTTCATAAACTTATAATCCCTCCGGATTATGTTTCCCAATTTATCATTGGCGTAGGGTATCAGAGATAGATAAGTGAGTAAGTGTTAACTGACAAAAAATGTTTGTTTCCTACGGTACATTTAATATTCTTAGTGATAGATTATAATGATACATTGATTGAAGAAATAGATTTTAATATACAAAGTATTAAATATGATTTCATTGTATTGTGGTGTATGCTACTGATATCGACAGAGATAAGTAGTATATATCATCAACCGAAAGTGAGATATCTGGAGGCAAAAGATCAAAGAGAAGAGAATGAGAACAAAGAGTGATTGGTATAAAAATGAAGGGACATGCTACAAATGAAGTTTTTACTGTATGATTCGAAGTTTTTACTACGAGAACAGCTGGACAATGTGTTTTGTGAAGTAGTTGTTTGGGCTTATAGTATTACGGACAGTAATTAGGCCTTGTTTTTCGTTCGTCGTTAAATAGTATATGATAGCTCTCATAATCCCCATATCCACATGACTGTTTGTCTATGGAAAGTTTTTACAGACATTCTGTTTGTATCGATGGTGAACTCTTAAAGTATAAGTCAAGTTGACAGATAACTTTAAAAGTCATCTTTACATCAATTCACTGTTCATTATCGATTATATGTACAATATTGGAGATTCTTAACTAAACTATGAAAATGAATAACATTCAATTCTAGTAAATGTTAATTAAAATACAACTTACTCTATGATAACTTTCATGACTACGAAGTTGATCAGTTTTCAGTTCCTTCGAGATTGTAACCGTACTTGTTATAACTTGTGACCGCCGATTAGAGGGCAGTAAATTATCGATCGGACCAATGTCGCATAAAACCCATACGAGCAGTCTAGAGTACTTATCGGTTCAGCTTCCTACTTAGCCCAGCTATTTAAGTCCAGAGCACCAACCTCAACCTCTGCAATATGAATCATACGGAGTTTATATACCACTCAAACAGACCACAACACGTACCACAAAATAGAAAACAACATTTGTACATGATTTGGCCCAAAGTGGCTGTGAATGTGGGAAGTAGTAAGAATAGTATAATAACAGTTCATAGATCAAAATAAAGCTCATAATAAGAGGGACATGAATATGAATAGTCTAGTTATTGAACAATTATACGATAAAAATATACGTATAGTACTAGTCCATAAATGGATCCCAAAAGTTACCATTCATTATGCTTATCGGGACCTAACAATACTTCACCATTAATCTATGTGAACTACTATGAAACCATTGTGTAAGTAATCAGTTCTTAACAACTGCTTATCATCACTAAACCTTATACGTATTGTATCTATCAAATAGTGAGATATTTTCATATTGACTATACAAAGTATTTGAATAATTAATCAAAGATAAGATCAAAGACATTTGAGATGATTTCACTTTTACGTAAATTTTAAAATAGAATATATCAAATCATTATCTTTAATTCATATAAGTAGTTTATGCCTTACTTTAAATTTAAAGTGATCAGAGGTATTTCCTGGAATTCTAGAGCGAAGCCGTGACCAATGGAGTTCAACTGGGTATGTTTTGAGATAGTAATTCACTGAAGGGAATGATGAATGGTGGCGTAATTTCGTGAATTGGTTGAAGTTAAACATTAGCACGGTTGAGTGCTGGCTCAGTGGTCTAGAGGTAAAGCGTTCGTGCGCAAGACCGTTAGGTCCTGGGTTGGGATCGCGTAAGTAGAATCATGGATGAGCACTGCCGAGGAGTTCCACACTAGGACGAAACAGTTATCCAGTGCTTCCAGGTTCTCCATGGTAGTCTACCTTCGATCAAATCATGAATTCAACAATCAAATTACTATAATATCCACAAAAACCTCCTTTCTAATAATAATACTAATGAACGTTATTTTATTACTGAATTCTATACATGGAAGGATTATCTACGGTGAGAATTAGCATAAAACAACATTCTACTGTCTCATAGGTATTCCAAAAAGATATTGGGACAAAGATGTTCGTTAATGGTTTAAACTATCTATACTCTAGACAAAACCCTTATAAAGAATATCTACATATAATTTGATGCATAGTGACTGATTCACTCAAGGGATATTATCACAGTCTTTATGAGATACTAAGAAATGTGTATTCAGTCAATTGGGATTCATTCATCTCTGATTGACAGTCATTTTCAATAGTCGAGATCATGAGTCATTTGAAGTTATACCACCACAGAAAATCTGAAAGCACTGGACGGCCGTTTCGTCCTATTGTGGTACTCCTTAGCCGTACGCATCCACAATCCCACTCATGGTCTAGCTTCAATTGACTCATGATGTCAACTATTGAAATTACTACAGTCTCTACGAAAAATCTTTCTGATTCTAATCATTTTGAAACTGGTCTTATTTCTAGACAATAAAAGCACAGTTATCAGACTATAATTAAAGGTATTAAACCTTAAGCTCTATAAACTAATGGTCAGATAAATTATTCAATGATCAGTATTCTAAAAGGAGATACGGTTCTGCCTAAATTCTTTATTTTACTTTCCTTTAAATATCTAGATTACCTTCTCCTTTACCAGTTCAATCATCATTAAGTAAGTCCCTCTTTTTCTAGTTTGATTTTTATAATTATCAGTATAGGGTTATGGAGATTATTAATTTTTTTGATTAACATCATGAATCAATTGATGTTAGACCACCATTGCAAACCTGGAAGCATTGGATGACTGTTTTGTCCTATTGTGTGACTCCTCAGAAATATGCATCGACGATCCTGCTCACGGGATTCGAACCCAAGACCTTCACTTTCATATGAGAACGCTTAACCTCTAGACCACTGAGCAAGTATCCAACGATGTTATTCGTACTTAGAAAAGATAATTAGATTTAATTACAAATATCATTTGTTTTATTAATTTCATCTAATACAGTTTACTCAATGGTAAACTATGTTTTTTGTTTAAACACAAAAGTTGGTTCAAAAGAAATAAGAAATGGAAACATAGTTCCTTGTGTTATATTGTTGTGAATATCTAAGTTTAATTGACCTATGATCTTGAGTAAGCTTTCATCTATTGTTTGAGGTGGATAACTGTCTCCAACCGACATGGATTGGTCTAGATTAGATCGACTCATGAATTTAACTGTTAAACTTATTACAATCTCTATAAATTCTTATTTTGATAATAATCATGTACTCATTAGTGACTAGCTTTAAGATAAATTTCTTGGAGTTCTAGTGAGAAACCATAATCACTGAAGTTGAATCTGTGTCGAGTGAAGATAGTTATTCACTTCAGACAATAGGTAAATAGTTGTGGATGATCATGGATCGACTAAAGTTAGACATTAACATCGTTGAACACCAGTTCAATGATCTAGAGGTTCAGTGTTCTAGAGCAAGTCTTACATGCAGGATCGTGGAAACGTACTAGTGTGAAGTTCTATATTAGGATGAAACAGCCATTCAGTGCTTTCAAAGTTACTATGATGGTCTAACTTTAATTGAATCATGAATTCTACTATAAAACTATGGTTATATCAATTAACAATCCTTTTTCACAATCATGAATTAGAAACTGTCATGTACTATCCCTTTAACTCAATGAAGTGTGTTGTATTTAAGATAAGAATAGATGTTTTCTTTCAAATTTGTCTTCACTATTATTAAATGTAACTGAATGACATCAATGGGATAAACTGGTTCTGATAAAGATAATCGATTACTAATGATCATGTTGTTATGGGGTTATATAGATTGTTTAATATCCATCAGAGAATTAACCAGAAAATGTACCCTGATTATAAACAAAGATGGATGGTGATTAGCAGTAGAATCCAAGATGCGCGTTTCACCCTATTTGGGACTCGTCAGCTGAATGTACATACATCTCAGAATTGTTATTCACTCCAGGTCTCGAACCCAGTACCATTCGTTAAGTGAATATTGGGATAATGTTTGAAGCGAACAGTATTGAGTTTGAGTCCCAGTGTAAACATCAACTCTGAGATGAAAGTACATCAATATGACAAGTTGAAAAGCATATCTTGGATTCTACTGCTAACCACTATTCATCTTTACTTACAATAAGACAAAAAGAAAGGATTAATCACATATCAATAACCTGTTATAGGTAAATGTCATTCATTTAATGTTCATTGTACTTGATACACTGAACAGTTTAGTCATCTTATTTAAGTAATTCAGTAGATTAAACATTTAAATTCAACTCAATTGTAACTCAAATCTGCTTAAACAGATGGAATGTATTTCAGTAATCTACCGAGGAATAGGTTATAAATAAGATTTTTGGCATGGTTCCAATGATCTAATTGATCAATTAGATAAGATCATTGAGAATTTGTCTATTCAGATTACAATTGATTTATTATTAGTTTTCATAAGACTGATTTTTCTAATTAGAATGGAGAGTGTATATTCTAATGTATGTTCTTTTAATGGTTAACATCATGAGTCAATTGAAGCTAGACCACCATGGAAAACCTTGAAGCACTGGACGGCCGTTTTGTCCAATTGTGGGACTCCTCAGCAGTGAGCATCCATGACCTAGCCCCCTGCGAGATTTGAACCTAGGACCTACTGGTTTCGCGTGCCAGCACTTGGATGCGCATTGCTGAGGAGTCCCACAAACGGCCGTTCAGTGCTTCCAGGTTTTCCATGGTGGTCTAACTTCAACGGACTCATGATCTTAACCATTGAACTTACTATGATATCCACAAAACCCGTTTGATATATTCTTTTAGCTGGATAATTTGATTATGAAGCTTTCATTGTTATTCTGATGATCCATATCCAGTACAAACTTTAAATAGAACAATTAAAACTGCATGACTAAACCATCTAATTCAGAGAATAAAATTCTACCTGAACTATAATTCTTTTCCATCATCAACAGATGTAAATTTAGTACCTAATACTTAACAGATAGGAGGAATGGAGTTGGTGAATGGGCAAACTTGAATGCCCTCTTCTTTCCTATAATGTTTACAATTGAGATCTAGTTTAGAATTATGTAACACTACAATAATAAGTCTTAACTATTTGGTTCTACTTATGTTGTTATGTTAATTCACATATACAACTATATTCAATACACCATTTAAATATTGATTGTTCTATTGTATTGTCCATGATAGATATAGCACGTCTTTTAAATTTAGATTTACCCGTATATAAGGTGGTAGTAACAACAAAACAAAAGTGTAAATGACGTAACTATTTTAAGGGTAATCTGTCCCTTTTTCAAACATTATACCCTTTTCAATATTGATCGTCTTTATATATAATTCGAATAATATACGGGTGTTCGTATACTATTTACAGTAATCATTTCAGTAGTATGTAATGTTTATTATAGATTTAACATCTTGTTAAGATTGAATATGACATCATAATGAATAGGATTACTTTTGATGGAGTTTTGTTCTCTCAGCTGGATGGTTTGGTCGTGGAGCTTTCATCGTTCTCCTTCTGAACGACATCATCATCAGCACAAACTTTCGGTAGAAATGAAGTGTTCGAATTTCTCCATATACGTTTCACAGCTTGTTCTGTACATCTTGACGTTGATTGGTTCTTATTGACCTTAAATTCGTCATGGTTTACTTCTTTGTTTTGGTTGTGTCTCCCATTGGTTTGATTTTTGTTCCTGATTGATTGATAAATTGAATCGATTTCAATGTGCTTGTTGATTGCTGATTGACCTGAGTGCCAAGTTTCTGAAATTTTTTTGGTGTTTTTGGAATTTCCTTTGTCCAAGATTTCCACATTTTTCCAATCGAATAAGTGTCCGCAGTTGTCCACGTGTATTGATATAAGTGAGGAAGTATCATGATTACTCTTTTCTTTTTGTTTTGCTTATTCATTATTATGTAATAATTGATTACAAGATTTGGGACTTTCAAGCAAATGATTAATTTCGGTCAGGACTTACTGTAATATTTGATGATTCCAACTATACAGAAACGGATTCATTCTTGATGATTATGATGATGATGATGACGATGATGTCAAATTTAATAACATCCAACTTAAGATTCTACATCAACTTGTGGTGTATGCTACTGATATCAACAGATATATAAGTAGTATGTATCATCAATCGAAAGTGAAATACCTGTTGACTTAAAGGTTAAGAGAATTGAAGAATAGAGAACGAGAACAAAGAATGATTGATGTGGAAACAAAAGAACAATGAAATCCGAGACGACTGACTGATATTTTACAAATGAGGAATTTACTGTATGATTCTGACATTTTACTAAGATGTTCCGTAATGTTATATTCAAATACATTCGATTGTTCCCATTTGTGTTATCGTTCACTACAAACGGACCAGTCATAACATAATATACATGAGTGTTAATCCGTTAACATCAATCAGTAGTAATGTCTAGAATATAGCATTTCGTATCCGTTAGTCAATGAGATAGAATCCTGCAACATAGATTGCCTACGATACTTATCTACACTAAACGATTTCAATCATTGAATACTAATCCAGTGGTTTGAAGATTAAACACTAATTGTGAAGCGTGGAGGTCAGGGATTCGATCCGTCATGTTTGGACAATGGTGAGAAGTCTCATACTGGAATGAATTATTTATTCAGTATTTTCTGATTCTCATTAGTTACTAACTGATGGAAGACCGTAAAATAGATAGTGGAGTAATGTTGTTGTTGGTTCAGTTGAAATTCCATTCGTATTATTATTCTTACAGGAATATACGTATTTCAGTATGCTAGTCTTTTATAAAATTCACATTATTCATTGTCTGATCAAAGGTAGTTATGACAAAACCCTGGTCGACATAGGTTTCGATCGGGTTAGGACTTGTCAAGAAGATTACCTGGAATCTTGAATGAATTGATTCTCCTTCTTGTATTCGAACAAAGTTATCCAGTTTAGCATTTTGAGTTATTACTAATGAGGTATTGTGCCAGCTACTAACTTTGTTTCGGATTGAAATACTTACAATTGGTCAGTCACAGAGTCATTACCAATGTTAAGTTAATCTAGTCTTCAGAAATTATAAAATCTTACCTTCGAGCACTTAACATCAAAACATTGTGCCTGAGATATCGAGTCACATAGACTAGTGATCAAACACTTTAACTTCATCCAAGACAGAGTTGGATGGTGAATGCTGGTGGGTGGCTTATGCTCCTCCACGAGGGGTAACAGGCGTAAGTAAGTAGGTATAGAGTCCGACCATCACTAGTGACTAAACAAATATGTATATTTAGTGGAGTATATGAATTGTTTATTTAGATCTACTCCCACAGTACTGAATATTCAATCCTTTTCAACACAACATATAGCTGTTATTAAATAAACCTTATTTAGAAGGTACTTCTCATAGTAGCATCTGGATTTAAAAGGATGACAGTAAATTAAATGCGGGTATGAAGAAGATTTTCATCATAGATTGGAGAAACATGAGATTATTGAAAATCAAGAAATAATTCAAAAAATCGTTTCTTTCAGTTTAAGACTTTTCTGAAGTACATATCTAAGATCTTCTGAAGGATCAAATCTAGTATCTTCGGATTTAGTGGTAAGCAGTTTAGAATTGATACCATCGAGTTAATGTTTAATAGTCGACATCTCCTACTTCTACCGATATATATATATAATTGGTCAGTTTAATGGTTGGCTTTTTGTTCATTACGACGTAACAAGACATGGTTTTCTTTGCGCATAAAGTACACTAGCAACAAACTGATTTTTTGCACATAAATGACAAGAGGTAAAAATCTATTCTCATATTTGTCTGATATTATTGCCAAAGAATATATTCACAAATAATGATTATTATCAAAACGAGAGATGACCATTTCGTCCCAGTATAGTACTCTTCATTAATGCGCATTCATGACCCTGCATGTGGGACTCGAACTCAGGAACTTTGTTCTCGCTAGTAGACACTTAACCTCCAGACCAACGAGTCGGAATCTAACGGTTTAAATGTCTCATTTCAATCGATCCATGATCTCGTACAACAACAACATCATCATCATCCAAGTCCAGTGCATCCAGGTTTTCAATGGTGGTCTATCTCAGACCAATTCATGAATTCAACTGTTAAAATAATGCTTAATTTAAATGCTTTATTGATTTTATTCCAATAAATTACTTACTTACTTACGTCTGTTTCTCCCAATAGAGCATTGGCCACCGACCACCATTCTCCAAACCACCCTGTCCTCAGCCTTCCTTTTCAGTTCTATCCAATTCTTGTTCATTTTTCTCATGTCTATCTCCATTTCTCGGCGTAATGTGTTCTTTGGTCTTCCTCTTTTCCTTTTGTCTTGAGGACTCCACGTGAGGACTTGCCTTGTGACGCAGTTGGATGCTTTCCTCAATGTGTGTCCTATCCACTTCCAGCACTTATTCCTCATTTCTTCCTCTCCTGGATTCTGGTTTGTTTTCTCCCATAGTAGGTTGTTGCTGATAGTGTCTGGTCAACGGATCCATGGTATTTTCCGTAGACAGTTGTTAGTAAACAGTTGTATCTTCTGGATAATGGCTTTCGTAGTTCTCCGGGTTTCCGCCTCATAAAGTATAACTGTCTCGAGATTTGTATTGAAAATTCTGACTTTGGTGTTGGTTAGTAGACAGTTGTTTTGAGTTCCAGATGTTCTTCAATTGTAGATATGCTGTTCTTGCTTTGCCGATTCGCGTCTTCACATCTGCATCAGATCTACCGTGTTGATCAATGATGCTGTCCAGATATGTAAATGTTTTTACATCTTTCAAATCTTTCCCGTCAAGTGTGATTCGATTGTTGTATGCTGTGTTGTATCGGAGGCTAACACATATAGTATAACTTAACACTTATGTTAATTGATTAACTCTATTCGTAAAGAACTTAATCCGTAAAGTCATGTTATCGGAGATGAGTGATCTCATTTCATCTACCACATTGATTAGTATGGATAGATAAATCTTTAAGTTAAAAACGGTGAATCTTAATGTTAAGTATTATGGTGAATGTAACACTATACGTAAAAACAAAACGAATATTTTTTGTTCATCGATAAATGCTTTATAAGCAAAGATGGATAGTGGTTAACAGTTGAATTGAGGACACGCGTTTCGTCCTATTCGAGATTCGTTAGCTGAATGTACCTGCATCTCAGAGTTGATGTTCACTCTGGGACTCGAACGGAGCACCGTTCGTTTCAAACGTCATCGCGTTATCCACTTAGCTACTGAGTCATGACTTTAGGCTATATAGAAGCATCCGAATAGGATGCACATAAGCCAACATGAGACTGATCAGTTGCAGTCCTAAATAACAATGGTAAGATACAAGTAAAACAACACCAAATGAATTCAAACTTCATCCCATTGTACATGCAAGTGACTAACAGGACTCAGTAGCTGATTGGGTAACGTGATGATGTTTGAAGTGAACGGCAATAGGTTCAAGTCCTAGAGTGGGATGTAGGTACATCCAGCTCACAAGTCCCAAATAGAATGAGACGTGCATCCTGGATTTCACCACTAGCCACTATCCATCTTTGCATAATAATATATAGCCTGTTTAATGAAACTATTGACCCTAGAGAATACAATAACTATTGTAATTTTTTATTTTGTTTCTTTTTAATGAATAGATGATCATTGTCATGAACATTCAACAGTTAATTCAAATATAGATAAAAATGCTAGAAGAAAATTAATACTTGCCAGTGGTTTATGCTTATTTTTTATGACAGGTGAAATAATCGGTATGTTTTTTTAAAGATTTATCTATTTTACTACTTATGAACACTATTTAAGTAATATGTTTGACTTTTCATGAAAAAATGAAAAAAATATACGAATTTATGTAATCTTTTATGAAGTATTTTGATTGATAAGCAAAGATGGATAGCGGCTAGTAGTGGAATCCAGGATGTACATCTCATTCTATTTGGGACTTGTGAGCTGGATGTACCTGCACCTCACTCTAGGACTCGAACCTATTGCCGTTCACTTCAAACACCATCACATTATCCACTTAGCTGTTGAGCTCTCATAGCCAATCTAAGATGTCTTATGATATTATATGATGAAAATTAGATTGGGATGTTCTGGAATAGTCACTTAAAACACTTAACAAATTATCAGTATAGGGTTTTGGAGATGATTAAGTTTTTGAATGAGATCATGAACCGTTGATGTGTTAGACCATCATCGAAAACCTGGAAGCATTGGATGACCGTTTCATTCTATTGTGAGACTCCTTAACAGTGCATATCCACGAACCTGCCCGCGGGATTCGAACTCAGGACCTTCAATCGCGCGAGCGAGCTCTTAACCTCTAAACCACTGAGCCAGCATACAACGTTGTCAATCATTGGTGTTATCGTTGGACAATTCTTTATTTTTCTTCTCGAATTCGAAGTTATCTCAATAGCTCAGAGGAATTGAACCTATTAGATGAAGAGAAAGCAATAACATACAATGAATTCATTGTATTCTGTAACTAGTTTAAGATCTTACTTTATTCAAATTTGTGAACAAGATCAATTACATAGAGCTCATTAACAATTATATGACTAATGATTAATATTATTGAATAAGTAATGTGGAAATATAACTGATGAGGATTCCATATGGAGGGTTATTATTTATACTTTTACTGAGTGATTAGTAGACGCTTATGTTTGACATTGCACATGATCCATTGGGGATAATCAGTTCCCTAAACACTACAGGTGCATCTTGTTGGCGTAGAACCAAACAACACAAAACCTAAATTCAGGGTTTTCTGATGACTACCTTCAACCAGCTCCTTAGTGAGAGCTTTACATTTATGTTCTTTTTGAATGGGTTGAGTTTGATTTCAATGATTTGATAGCGATGGCGTCGAGATAACGAAGTAAATTCAAACAAATTAGTTTGAGCAGTATTAGAATATCAACATTGTGCCTGCTATCATCCTAATCTTCTACATTTGGATCAAGAAAACAGAAGTAATATTGAGTAAGAATCACAGTGAATAGAACAATATAATTTTGTCTTTTCATCTTGTTATATCACTGAAGAATCTTATTTTTATGTCTTTTTAGTCTGTCAATATAACATCGGTTTATATGACATTGGCATTGCGTTATACCAATGATACATTAACCAGTAAAAGCAACCGAAAGTCATCTCTAAGTTCTTATTAGTCCTCTGAGATACTAACTTCTTGCCTAACTCGACCAGTTCAGTTCAGAACAAAAAGATCAACCTCCACTATATGAATCATGTATTTCAAACATACACACAAGCCGAAAGTGGCTGTTAGTATGGGATACTGTAGCTAATAAATAGGGGATAACTCAAGAATGGTAGCCAATAGGTCAAATGGAAGCTTATGATAAAAGGAATATAAATATACATATAATCTAGTTGCTTAATCATTATCCAATAAGATTATCTGTAATAATAGTCCATAAATAATTTCTAGCGGTTTCCATTCATTTATTCTTTAGTTTATTTATATATATGAACACATAAATATTGGTACAAAGGGGGCACCGAACACATATGCACCACAAAAGTCATTTGATTTGTGTGTGGAGTATAGTACTGCCCGGTTGACCAAACCAAACCAGGCGATTTTCTTAGGGGGCCACACTCGAGGCCTTCGATCTAAAGTTCTGATCCACAAGACAATGTGTCAACGTTAGGAGATGAAGTCTCATGGTAGCCGGTGACCAACAATAGGTTCTGATGCCGTATGTTCCTTCAGGATAATGGTGCACCAATGGTGTACAAATAAGGTTCTTTAACTCCTCTAGGTGAACTCTCCATGTCCCGTAACCCAGTTTAAGTACCGGATATTAGTTTTTCGTCTATTCAATTTCGTGAACAACACTCGCGCCATGAGAAGTCAGTAAGTAGGACTTCCATGGAAGTGGTTGTATGCATGTAGCCATGTGAGAGCATTTGAAGAGAGAAAGCTGACCCTCCCACCTTTAACCGTACTAAAGTATTTAGGGTGATCATTAATAACAAGACTAAATAGCCACCCAATACTTCCAATGATTATCTAACTAATATCCATTTATGATTTAAACTTTGAAAATTCATCAATGTCTACAACTTCCTCATTAAGTATAAATTACTTATTTTAAATAAGTAGTATCGTAGGAAGTAATATAATCATTTTGTTTATTCTGTCATCAAACCGGAACTTAGTAATTATGATAATTAATTTAAAATTTTATGTTTATTAAAATGATAATTATGATTAAATGAATTCCAATTCATTGGGTTTAAGACTACAATTGATCAGTCTCTCATCGGTATATGTACATTCTGTGCAGACTGCCTCGATATTGCCTTAATTCACAAGTATTATAAGCAGAGATGGATAACGGCTACCAGTCGAATCCAGTTTGACGCGCGTTTCGTCCTGTTTGAAACTCGTCAGCTGGGTGTACCTGCATCTCAGAGTTGAGTCCCAGAGTGAATATCAACTCTGAGATGCAGGTACACTCAACTGACGAGTCCCGAATAGAACGAAACGCACGTCAAACTGGATTCGACTACTAGCCACTATCTATCTTTGCTTATAAATGAATTTCAGTTAAGATATATGAAATAATCACATTCTAAATTCATTTGGTATTATTTGCTTGTATTATGGAATATGCTACTTGTGTTGATAGATATAAGTAGTATATGTATCATTAATCGAAAATGGAATGTTTAATAGCAGAAGGTTAATAAGATCGAAGAATAAAGAATGAGAACAAAGAATGATTGGTGCAGAAATGAAGGAACAGTCAAGCCTGAGACAATTGATGAGCGTGTTACAAATGAAGTATTTACTGTATGCTTCTGAGATTTTACCAAGGCATTCTATAATTTCATGCTGAAATACATTGTCCCTCGCTTGTGTTCTTGTTCACTACAGCACTATTGTTGTTTAGGACTGCAATTGATCTGTCTCTTGTTAGTAGATGTGTATCTTGTGCGGATTGCTTCCATATTGCCTTAATTCACATGTTCTATAAACAAATACGGATGGTAGCTAGTAGTAGAATTCAGGACACGAGTCCCAAGCAGAGCGAAACTTAAGTCCTGGATTTCATTGCTAGCTACTTTATATATCTCTTCTTATAATAAAATTCCAGTGATGATGCAGTGAACGATGGAATTCAGTTGGAGAAGACCAATTTATTGTTTAATGAGAAATTACGGAGTACAGTATATATTTCATCAGTTGTCTCTTACAAACTTCATCGTCACTTCTTTCCTATTGTTATCACAATTTCTCTTTGTACACATTTCTGTTCTCTCTAATTCAATCATCTCAATCTCTTTCTGTCATGTATTCCATTTCGGATTGATGTTATATACTACTTATATCTGTCGACATAAGTAGCATACACAAGTGGTATTAACTAGTCATTTTCAAGATTGTCAATATGGAGATGTGATTGTAGTAAGCATGACTGATTATTTGACGATACCATTGTTTAGAGAATATCGTTTATAAATTAAACATGAATAATAATTTAGACACAAGTTAACTGTGTCTAGATAGCCGTTTGAAAATTCGTTGACAGAAGATAGCGATCGTTTAATAATGTGGGACTTCTCAGCAAAGCATATCAATGACTCTACTAAAAATAGCATCCAAGACCTTCAAACCAAGCCCAAAGCCCGTTACCTTTAAACCACTGTGTTGGAATTCAGCTGTTTGAATTGACTTATGGAATTATCCAGATCACAAATTTTCTAGATGTCAATGCTTAGATGACTAAATTTATGAAAAACAACTGCAAACCATATTCCTTTGTTATGACAGACTAGATACAGCTCAACTACATTGTTTGCAACATCTATGACAATCATGTTAAGTAAAATGGTTTCAAATCTTACAGTAAGAGTGATTCTTATCAAGAATACAGATACTTAACTACTTAATTACGCCTGTTACTCCTTGTGGAGGAGCATAAGCCACACACCAGCATTCTCTATCCAACCCTGTCCTGAACAATTCTTTCTAGTTATTATTCATGCTTTTCATATGTGATTCTATTTTCTGGTGTAATGTTTTCTTTGGTATTCCTCTTTCCCTCTTCCATTCACGAAATCAAGTTAGGGCTTGTCTCGTGATGCGGTTTGATGATTTCCTCAATGTATGTCTTATCCATTTCCAACGTCTATTCCTAATTCCTTCTTCTGCTGGAAGTTGGTGCTGATGTGTATCCAGTCAATGGATGTTGAGTTTCTTGCGTAGACAATTGTTTATGAATACTTGTACACTTTTCATGATCATTGTAGTAGTTTTTCTTGCTAAGACCAAACGCCAACCAGATTAAACAAATTAAGAAATACAGATACACCTGGTTATTTACAACCAGATATCAAGGAATCTAGTTAGAATATTGTTGAACATGAACCATTCAATCGTTTCCCTTTCATTAAAGATATTGTTTGAAGGATTCATTCAAATAAATACATATCAGAAAATTTTTAGTGGATGTTATAATAATTTCAATAGTTGAGATCATGAATCAATTGGATCTAGACCACCATAGGATAACCTGGAAGCACTGTCTGGCGGCTGTTTTGTCCTATTGTGGGACTCACTAGTGACTGGTTTCAAGAGGTATTTCTTGGAGTTTTAGTGAGAAGCCGTGACCAGTGGAGTTCAACCGAGTCTATTGTGAGATAGTGATTCATTGAAGACAATAGTGAATGTATCACTGAATTTCGTAGATTTATTGAAGTTAGACATTAACACCGTTGGATACCGAGTCACTGGTCTGAAGGTTAGGTGCTCACACGCAATACTGATAGGTCCTATGTTCAAATCTCACGAGTCGTGATCATGGATGCACACTACCATTGACGAGTCTCACAATAGGATGAAACGATCATCCAGTACTTTCAAGTTACCAAATGATGATCTCACATCAATCAATTCATGATCTCAACTATTGAAACTAAATCCATACAACTTTCAGAATGTTTATTGTTGAACGATACCTATGAAATCACAATGATCATGTTTACTTGTTTGGATTTTACTTTTATTTTTTTTTTGATATTTTTAAATAGGTGGTGCATTAGCTCATAGTTTGGCCATTATGACAGATGCTGCTCATTTATTAACGGATTTTGCTAGTTTCTTAATCAGTCTATTAGCTTTATATTTAGCATCAAGACCATCTACAAAACGAATGAGTTTTGGATGGCATCGTGCTGGTAATTCGTTTTCTATTTCATATCATGTATACAAGGTATTTAAATGATCTAGATTATCATAATGGAATGGTGGGAAGGAAGAGGGAAGTGGTTATTGAATGTTATAGGGATATTCAATAAGTTCTTTGTTATCCATGTTTAATGATTACCGATCATAGAATTGATCATAAATTGAAATCAATCAAATAATCAATAGTGATCAGATTTTTTTTCTATCATTATTTTATATTGATTTTCTGGTTAATCCTTCATGTATATTCATTACTCGGTCAGATGATAATTTATTATGGATAACCTTTGAGCGATGTTAGACTGATCTAGAGAGTGTTCACCTACTAAACCAGACCAAATGAGGGTTACATTTGATGGTTAAGATTTTTATCCCGATTTAATATCAGTTATAATGCCGAAATTCCATTTAGCCAAATGAGTGAATGAATTTCACGCCAAAATTCAAGATCTATTGTCTTGAATCTGATTGGTTCACCCATAACCTATAGTCTCGTTGAAATCATGAACAGTGGAGTTCAACTATATCGAGAATTAACCATATTGATTGAGATCTTGAACTGATTGATTTCAGACTACAATGAAAATCTGAAAGCACTGGACGGCTGTTTTGTCCTACTGTGGGACTCTTCAGCAGTGAACATCCATGACCCCGTGTCGGGTAGAGACAGGTATCTACCTTAGTACAATGGGAGATGGTCGCGCAATTTCGTGGATTGGTTGAAGTTAGACATTAACACTGTCGGATACTGGCTCAGAGGTCTAAAGGTTAAGCATTCGCGAGCGTGACCGGAGATCCTGGGTTCGAATCCTGAGGGAAGGATCGAGGATGTGCAATGCTGAGGAGTCCTACAGTAGGACGAAACAGCCGTCCAGTGCTTGCAGGTTTTCAATCGTGGTCTAATATCAATCGGTCCATAATCTCAATCAGTAACTTAATAATCTCCACAACCCTATACTGATAATTTATCGTATATCAGAGGCAAACCGATAAAAGCTAGAACTGTAAAGAACTTATAGTGTCTAGTGCCGCATCATGTCCATGTGGCTTATTCTATTTTCTGAACAGACCAATTTAGTCATTCTTCTTGATTCACATTTTGATTTGACTACATATTGGCTTATTAACCCTGATTGTTTTTAGATGGTTGTTATGTGTGTTAATTACTTACGCTAATCATTAGGCGTTTGTAACTTATTTATGTTTGACTATAAATATCGAGTAAGGAATGATTAAATCAATATGGCTCATATATCATCTCCACCTCGCATAATTTCCTTTCGATTCTTCATCCCTTTCTTTACTTCGTTTCCCTGATCGTCTTTTTGGATCAACAGTTGAAGTCAGGTACACATAAGCCACTAAACTGATGAGTCTAACAATGAACCTAACTCAGCAAACTACGTCAATGAAGAACTTTTCACACTTCATACAAATTCAGTGCAGTTTACTTTATGGAAGAACTGAATTCCATCTCTCTGGTATAAGAATATCGTGTTCATTGAAAGAATGGAACATCCTGTGTTCAATTATGTCTACGATCATAGATATGCACTAGTTAAAAGTTGTTCAGATGACTCTTTCTGGTTGAAATTATTTATTATCCAAGTATGTAAAATGTTATAACGCTCGGTTGTCTTCGTCTACACGAATGGGGCGTTAATTTATCTTAGGACGAATATCTACATTAGATTCCATTCTAGTGTCTATTCTACAGGATTTCGATATGACTCGAATCAAGAAGAAGTGACTCGCCTGACTAGAACATATGTATATTTCCACACAAAACCTACAATAATGATAATATGGGTAGGAGATTATGTAACTTATCTAATACCGGTCAGACTAACTACTACTCTGACTAAGGATACAATCAGTCGTTATTATCCTCACCTATACATCATAGAAAGTGGAATTTGTAACTATGCTTATTCTATAACAAAGAGATATACTGGAATGAGTAAAATAATGCAAATGACAAGAAATTACCCCCCCCCTCGCAGTATCAATTAGCTAACCAAAACCCATACAATACCAATATCAAGTAACTGATGGTTAAAGGTAAATCGAGGGTGTTTTTGGAGTACAAATATACATGTAGTCATGATGAAGCATCTCTTTCAGTATTAGTAAATGTATATTGAATGAAGTGTTCAAAGGTGTTTAGGCATTATTCATATTTTTAAGCCCAGACAGTATAAATATGATACCTTGATCATTTACTTATCGTTTCTAAGGTTCTGTTAATGTTTACACTTTGGATCATAGAGATGAATCCAAAAAAAGGAATATTTATTTCACAAAAGATAATGATATATACAAGCTACAGTCAGATAGATTACAAGTGGTCTCAAATGAAAGATAGTCAGCTACAACGTAGGACCAGGCACATGTATGCATCGGCCCAGGTTGCCATACCTCATTAGCACAACAAGATGACACCGGATTCATAAAAGTAGTTAATTCAGAAGTGGTAATATATAAAAGAAAGATTGCATATGAGGATATAGTACACGAAGAAAGAATTAGTTAGTAGAATAAAAGATATGAAGCGATTTTAATCTCATAGTTTAAGGGAAGACAGAGAGTGTATACACCGACACCATTGTGATCGATTCTGAGCCATGTCACCAAGAATCTCTAACCATTGGTTACGATAGTCATGCAGACCTCAAACGAGTATTCTGCATCTATCAACATGGCTCAGACTATAAGTTAGTGTCTTCAAGCACTGTAGCCACGTTTTGGTTTGACTGCCCCTAACTTTTTTCTAACTATTCCCAACGCTAGTCAGCATTGTGCGTCCTGTTAATCGGTGTTCCGGCATGCGTAACACGTGGCCCAACCATCTCAGTCGATGAATATTCACAACCTCATCAACTGATTTACCATTATTCCCTAATACCTTGACATCCAACCTCGCTATTACTTACCCGATGATCCCAGCAGACGTCAGCAATATTTCTAAGGCATCTGTGGTCAAATACTAGTATAGATTACGAGCATCTTCTACTTTTTATGGTCACGTTTCGTAACCCTAAAGTAGAATAGAACGAACTGCTGCTCAGTATACTCGTCCTCTTATTGATAGACGGATATCTCGCCTCCACTATAGGTATATGTATTAACTGTAAGGTTTAGTAAATCACTTATCTGATCAAAGTTATCATTCATGTAATTTCTTGTCAGTCTAGCAACTTATAAATCTGAATGGGTTCTTTTTTGATATTAAACCTTCTAACACATTCTTGATCTCTTTATTCTTCACCGATGTATTAACGAACGTTACAACACATGCATAGTGATTGAATCAAACTAATCATAAACCGACTATTATGTAAGAGAGTTGAATTTTATTATTTCATTGATTTATATTAATATATGATTAGGATTGTCAAGCCTATATATTCTCATCTTATTTGATTACAATTAAAGAGGTTGTCGGTGCATTGGCATCTGTTCTATTAATTTGGCTTGTTACTGGTATATTAGTCTATTTGGCTGTGATACGTATTATACATAATAATTATGAAATCAATGGTAAAATTATGCTTATTACATCAGCTACTGGTGTTGGAGTCAATATAATGTGAGTATTTGTTTACTATTGAATATCATAATCATTCTTATCTAATTAAATAATCTGCCAAATTGATCATCATCAAGGTTCAAGACAATTTATTAGTCATTATCTGTGATCTTAGTGTAGTGAATGAGAACATAAGTGAAGAAAACGAATGTGACCGAATGAACATCAAACTTACAGAACACCTTACTTACTACTTACTTAAGCCTGTTACCTCTAATGGAGCATAAGCCGCCGACCAGTATTCTTCAACCCACTCTTTGTCCTGGTCCTTCTTTCCAGTTCTATCCAATTGTTGTTCATTCTTCTCATATCTGTCTCTCTTTCTCGGCGTATTCTGTTCTTTCGTCTACCTTTACTCTTTTGATGTTGAGGATTCCAAGTAACTGCTTGCTTTGTGATACAATTGAGTGCTTTCCTCAATGTGTGTCCGATCCACTTCCAGAGCTTTCTCCTGATTCCTTCCTCCACTAGAATCTGGTTCATTCTCTTTTACAGTAAATTCTTCATTTGCAAAATATTAATCAGTTGTATCAGACTTGACTATTCCTTTATTTCCACATCAATCATTCTTTATTCTCATTGTCTTTTCTTTGATCTTCATAACCTTCTGCCTCCAAGCATTTCACTTTCGATTGGTGATACATACTACTTATATCTATTGACATCAGTAGCACATATCACAGTATAAATAAGAAAATAATAGCAATATCTTGTTTAACAAAGGTTTTTCTTACCTCATTGATCAATCACTTTCAAAAAAGTTACCTAAGTTCAGTTGGTATTGTTTGCTTGAATATTCCCATTGACGTGTTAAGACTGCAATTGATAAGTCTCTTATTGGCATATGTGCATCCTATATGCATTACCTCGATATTGCCTTAATTCACAAGCATGTTGAGCAAAGATGAATAGTGGATAGTAGTGGAATCCACTTTGACGCGTGCTTCGTCCTACTTGAGACTCGTCAGCTAGATGTACCTACATCCCACAGTTGGTGTTCACTCCAGAACTCGAACCCGGTACCGTTCTCTACAAATACCATCGCGTTATCCACTTAGTTATACTGTTTTCTAAGAATTACTGATACAACTTAACTGATCAAATCATAATGGAGCCCGACTCAAACCTACAATCCAATCTTTGTAATTCAAGCAACTTAGCAATTGATTTACCTCCGCATTGGTTAAAATGTATTATTGTTCAGTTGGGAAAAAAAGGAAACAGCTCATAGAATAACTCACTTTGATGATTACTATATGATGAAGGATATTAAATTTTGACAACAAATAGGTTCGTATAATCATTAGATCCATGCTCTTGAACTATGTACATAGTATTTGTGACATCAGCTTGCAGTGTGGCGTCGAGTCGTGGTTGACTGTGATAACCACTACAAGAAGGTTACGTACCAGATATTAGAAGGCGATTGGAGGTTGTAGCGAGATATATTTGTTGGCGATCTTGTGCTATCGAAAGAATACCGAGACCGTACCAAACGAGTACAAACGGAATCACTGAACAAACGTAAGTGCGTGCAAGGTCATAATCAACAGAAGGAAAAATGTCTTTTGTACAGGCAAACAAGCAAGTACAGTAAAATAATCACTGGTATAATTGGTTATAATAATAATTGTTTCCATTAAACCAATCGCGTTCTCTTAATAAAAGTAGGTTACTACAAGCTGTAGAATAGATGTCGAACATCATCGGATATAACTGGAATTGGAAATATCGATCATTGGATTTCACTTCAGTGAACTAAAGTGATTAACGCTTTTAACAAAACTCATCATGAGTGAGATTAGTGATACACTCAGTAGACGGTTTTCATTCTAAGATAAGACAACTGTCTGATTTCAATTTGTGATGGGTATCCCATTAAAAAAACCCATCTAACAGAGACTTTTAAACTGAGGAAGAGCCAATAAGATGTTCCTATTATGAGTTTTACTAATTGAATTCCATTGATCAATTTAAGATGTAGCCCATTAGTGTGAATGACTATCAACATTAAAATGGATTTATCAAAATTGCACTATTAACATTTTTGATTGAGATCATAATCCGGTTAATGTTAGACCAGTATGGAAAACCTGGAAGCACTAGACGGTCCTGTGTTCGAATCTCGCAGTCAGGATCGTGGATAAATACTGCTGAGGAGTCCACAATAGGATGAAACAGTTGTCCAGTAGTTCCAGGTTTTCATGTTGTTGGTAGATGCAGACTAATTAGTTGGAGTCTCAATGGCTATCGTAACCAATGATTTGAGACTCAGCGTGACATGGCTCAGAATCGATCACAATAGCGTAGGTGTATACACTTTTTCTTCCCTTAAACTATGAGATTAAAATCACTTCATATCATTCTTTCTACGAACTAATTCTTTCTTCTTGTATTATATCCTTATATGCAATCTTTCTTTTATATACTACCACCACTGAAGTAACGATATAGCAACTCATGTGCAATTGAGTTGGTTCTCATTTAATTCAGTTAAGCCCTTTTGTTAACTTATTTAGCGGACAAAGTCATCCGTACTATAACAACTTATTATACCTTTATTATTGTTGTGCTTGTATGAAATATGTATGCTTGAACATTGCTTAACGTCTACACATATATTCATTCTGCTAGCTTTATTATTAACTGCCTAATTGATTCGATGATCTATTCATTTCCCTATATGTATACATGTACATTTAACACTCGACACTCTACACTCTCGGTTCGCTGACTCATTCATTCGTCTCACTGCTTTGTGATCTGAGTTATCTGCTAATAAAACTGTAGTCGTTGCTTCTCTTTGTCTACTGATTTCAAACACCGTTAAAGATTATATGATAACGGTTACGAGGATGATTGGTCAACGAAACACAGCCACTACAACTATTTCGATGAATTCGGTATTGATCTTGTTGTGCTAATAAGGTATAACAACTTGAACCGATGTATATATATATATGGCTAATCCTACATTGTAGCTGATTGACTGATTGAGTTCATTATCTCAATCTCTATAACCTATATTTTTTTCTACTTTCAGTATGTTATTCACATTACATAATCATGATCATAATCATAATTCATTAAATGAACATTCCCATCAAGATTTAAATTCATTTCCTGTAACTCATATTAATCAATTAACTATCAATAATCATTCACATGAAATTAATCATGATATTCATAAAGAATTTAATCGTCCAAATATTACTGTACGTGCTGCATTTATTCATGTAATTGGAGATTTATTACAAAGTATTGGTGTAATGATTGCAGCAATGGTTATATATTTTCAAGTAATCAATAGTTTTCTTTTTTTCCTTTATTTGTTTCATGTTAATAATCTATTCATTATAAAGAAAGATGATGATGATGATGATTCGATTGGATCGTATACCTGTTACTCCTTGTGAAGGAGCATAAGTCACACATCAGCATTCTCCATCCAATCCTGTCTTGGACAATGCTTTCTAGTTATTATTCATTCTTTTCATATGTGATTTTTATTTCCTGATGTAATGTGTTCTTTGGTATTCCTCTTTCCTGCTTCTATTCACGATTTCAAGTTAGGGCTTGTCTCGTGATGCGGTTTGATGATGTATGTCCTATCCACTTCCAGCGCTTCTTCCTCATTTCTTCCTCCACTGGATTCTGTTTTGTTCTCTCACATAGTAGGTTGTTGCTGATAGTGTCTGGTCAACGGATCCGAAGTATTTTGCGTAGACAGCTGTTAATAAACACTTGTATCTTCTGAATGATGGCTTTCGTAGTTCTCCAAGTTTCCACCCCATACAGAAGAACTGTCTTGACATTTGTATTGAAAATTCTGACTTTGGTGTTGGTTTGTAAACACTTGTTTTGAGTTCCAGATGTTCTTCAATTGTAGATATGCTGCTCTTGCTTTTCCGATTCGCGCCTTAACATCTGTACCAGATCCACCGTGTTCATCAATGATGTTGTCCAGATGCGTAAAGGTTTTTACATCTTTCAAATCTTCCCCGTCAATTATGATTCGAGTGTTGCATGCTGTGTTGTATCGGAGAATCTTGCTTTTCCCTTTGTGTATATTGAGACCTACTACTGATCATCTTCTCCTGCATTTGTTGTCGCATGTGCGGTAGAAGAGCCAGATAATCTGCAAGGTGTAGATCGTCCAGTTGTATTCTAGCTGTCCACTGTATCCCATGCTTCCCTCACCCCGGATGTTGGTGTCGATTATCATGAGAAACAAAAAGGTTAAGAGTAAGCAATCTTGTCTGACACCGATCTTTACATCAAACGAACTCCACTAGGGACCCCACTGAGTCTACTACTGGTCTCAAGTCCGGGTAAAGGAGGAGGTTTAGGCGTAGGGTTAACAACCCCATCTCATAGAAAAGTAACTCGCTAATCAGAAAAAAGCAATTCAAACCATGTCGAACTACAAATTTCATTTTAATATTACCAAACTTTTTTTATTAAAAGAGGTTTTGTGGAGATTTTAGTAATTTCAATTGTTAAGATCATGAGTCAATTGAATCTAGACCACCATGGAAAACCTGGAAGCATTGTTTGACGGCCGTTTCGTCCTATTATGGGACTCTTCAGTGGCAGTGCACATCCACGACCCCATCTCACGGGATTCGAACCGAAGAACCTACTGGCCTCACGTGCAAGCACTTAACCACTAGACCATCGAGGCAGCTATCTACGGTGTTCATGTCTAACAGGAATCTTCGGGGTCGTAGATGCACACTGCCACTGAGAACTCCCACAATAGAACGAAACTCCCAACAAACAGTGCTTCCAGGTTCTCCATAATTGTCTAACTTCAACTGATCAATGATTTCAACTAGTGAAACGTTTTGTTTGTTTATATATACTCATATATATATACACTTTTGTTTATTTTCTTTTCTGTTATTCTACTTATATCTCTGATGGATAAAAGCCAAAATATAAAATTATCGATCCATTATGTACATTTCTCTTTTCACTATTGGTCCTTATTACTACCATTAATATATTACGTGATGCATTAAATGTCTTAATGGAAGCTACACCACGTGGATTAAATTTTAATGAAGTGAAAAATTCATTAATGAATATAAATGGTGTCAAAGAAATACATAATTTACATATGTGGAGTTTAACGACCAATAAAACAGCTGTCTCAGTACATTTAGCTATTGGTAAGTAGCAATAGGAAAAGGTAATGAATGAATGAATGAATGATTAAGAAACAATTCATTCTTAAATGTTTATTTAATATTTCTGTTATATTCGGTTGTCGCTGATTGCTGTGTCGGAAAAACGCTGATCACTTATACTTGGAACGAGGGATCCCGGCAATTCCCACGATGCGAAAGTAAGAACACAAAGACTGGTATAAGTGAAGATTTATTAGCCCCAAAGCACTACGAATAAAATTCATAATGAGTAATTCAATCTAAAATTAACTTTTCTTTCCATCATATCAGTGTCTTATTATTCATTTCGAATAGTAACAGGTTTAGATTTACTTGGTATTGTTTGTTTGAATCTTTCGATCAATGTGTTAGGATTGCAATTGATCAGTCTCTTATTGGTATATGTGCATCTTGTGAGTATTGCCTCGATATTGTCTTAATTCACAAGTTTTTTGTGAGCAATGATGGATAGTGGCTAGTAGTGGAATTCACTTTGACACGCGTTTCGTCTTATTTGGGACTCGTCAGCTGGATGTACCTGCATCTGAGCTGATGTCCACTCTGGGACTCGAACCCAATACCATTCACTTCAAACGCCATCGTGTTATTCACTTAGTTACTAAGTCCTGATAGCCACTTGCTTGTGCTTGAGGTTTAAGAGTGCAATTGATCAATCTCTTATTGGTATATGTGCATCTTGTGAGTATTGCCTCGATATTGCCTTAAGTCACAAGCTTTTTAAGTTAAGATGGATAGTGGCTAGTAATGGAATCCAGTTTGACGCGTGTTTCATCCTATTTGTAACTCGTCAGATGGATGTACTTGTACCTCAGAGTTGATGCTCATTCCGGAACTCGAACCTTGTACCGGTCCATCACGTTATCCACTTAGCTACTGAGTCCTGAATGATTGTCAATTCTGAGATGCAGGTACATTCATCTGATGAATCTCAAATAGGATGAAACGTGCGTTTCCTGGATTCCACTGCTAGCCACCATATATCTTTACATATAGGTATAGGTTCATAATTATTAAAAACCATTATGAATCAACATCTTTCCCCACTTGATTCGGTTTGAGTATCCGGGCAGTATCACAGCTCACACACGAATTGAATGACTTGTATGCTGCATATGTATTCGATACCTATTTGTACCAATATTTATGTGCTCAAATAAATAAATAAAAATAAATAAATAAAAACTCGGAATCACTGGGTAGCCATTTTGTCTTAGTATGTGACTCGTCCACAGTACACATCCATATTTCTGTTACGGATTTAAAACACAGAAGTTTCAATCTTCATACTAAGATGAATAGACTATCCAATGCCCTATGGTTTTCTGTGTTATATCAAACCAATGTTGCACAAGGACTACACGATCTTGAAGGAACATACGGCGTCCAAACTTATCCAATGCTCTATGGTTTTCTGTGTTATCCTCCCCTTTCCCTCCCCTTCCGGCATGTCAATATCATTTTTAATGTCCTGGGTTCGAATCCCGCGAGGCGGGGTCGTGGATGCGCACTGCCACTGAGGAGTCCCACAACATGACAAAACGGCCTTCCAGTGTTCCCAGGTTCTCCATGGTGGTCTAGCTCCAATGGACTCATGCTCTCAACTGTTAAAATTGCTACAATCTCCACAAAACCCATTCTGATCCAAATTGTTCGTATTCTTTTTTGTTTGTTTCATATTAGAAAATGATTCAAATGCACAAGAAATATTAAAACAAGCAAATCATCTATTAAAACAACGTTATTTAGCACATGATGTTACAATACAATTAGAATTATATGTTAAAGAAATGGCTGATTGTTATCAATGTAAAGAACCATCAAAATAAGTAGTATATAAAAAAAAGTAACTATATTCACAGTGATAATATTGTACTTCATCTATACACTTATATTTGAACGAATTAGATATTATATATTCGTTTATTCAAATGAATAATATCTGATATTATCTTCATTGTATTCAATAGTTTATTAGATAATTAATCTCTATGATGAAGCTGAATATATATTATTTATCAATATTTTTGTTTAGTAATTTGATCTACTTATAAGTAGTATAATCATATTAATTCAAAAATTTCCATTCGAAGTACTTGATAGCGTAGATCTTACAGTTAGTAGATTTGTCTATAAACTTTATGATAAACTTATATGAGTTATAAAGACTGTTATACATAGAACTTCCTAAAGTTCTTATTATTATGATTATTATTACTAATTGAAGTAATCCATTCATGTGATTCAATGAAACAAGTAAACAAATTTAACTTCTCTATTTGTATCGATATTCATTGAAGATTATTGAATCATTTTCATGATTGAATTATATTCATCAATCTATTGAATGATTATGTAATAACTTTAATTTTCTTTTAACAAATCATGATAGACTACTTATTTATTTAGTTTGTTATATTACTTATTACATTAAGGTATTATATCTCTATATAGATAGATAGATAGACAGATAGAGATATAATAACTAAAGTATATTATGCATTTATGATGATTATGTTCCCTTTCACAATGATGATGTAACTGTTTCCAATCATTTGAAAAAAAGGATTCATATTGTTTTAATCAGGTTATTTAAGGTTATTATTTTATAAATGATTTCATATAAACACATTTCATTATAGATTAGAATCTTCTTTTTTTTTTTTAACTTTATTATAAAAATTACATGAAAAGAGAAGATGGTATAGTCAATCATTATTACATAATTATAGATAATTCGATTATCATAAAATGGTGATTGAGGTCATGCACAGACTAAATTGTGACACTAAGGATCATCGTCAAACAAGCAATTGAGTGGAATTCGTCAATGAACATCAACTTCATTGATTATGAAAAGGTGTTTGACAATGTAGATAGGAGAACATTATGAAAACTTCTTCGATACTATGGAGTTCCTAACTTATTACTTACTTACCTACGCCTGTTACTCCAATGGAGCATAGGCGCCGACCAGTGTTCTCCAACCCACCCGTCCTGGGCCTTCTTTTCTAATTCCATCAATTCTGTTCATTCTTCTCATGTCTATTTCCATTTCTCGATGTAAGTTTCTTTGGTCTTCCTCTTTCCTTTGACCCTGAGGATTCCATGTGAGGGCTTGTCTTGGACGCAGTTGGGTGATTTCCTCAATGGTCCTATCCACTTCCAGCGCTTCTCTGATTTCTTCTCCGCTGGGATCTGGTTTGTTCTCCCACAGTAGTTGTTGTAATAGTGTCCGGCCAACGAATGAAGTATTTTGCGTAGACAATGTTAATAAAACTTGTTCTGGATGATGGCTTTCGTAGTTCTCCAGGTTCTGTCCAACAGTAGAACTGTTTGACATTAGTATTGAAAATCTGACCTTGTGTTGGTTGACAGTGCTTTGAGTCCAGATGTCCTCAGTTGTAAATATGTTGCTGCTTTGCCGATCCGCGCCTTCACATACGCATCAGATCACCAAGTTCCTAAGAAGATTGTCAATATTATCCGGAATTCATACAACGGACTACAGTGCAAAGTCTTGCATGGAAGACAACTGACAGATGCATTCTAAATAAGGACTGAAGTCGCACAAGGCTGTCTACTTTCTGCCTTCCTCCTTTTTCTGGTGGTCGACTGGATTATGAAGACCTCGACATTTAAGGGAAAACACGGCATATAATGGACAGCTCAGAACCAAGTAGACAATTTTGACTTTCTAGATGACTTAGCCCTCATATCGCATACACACGAATGAATACAGATAAAGACAGCCAGTGTAACAGCAGTCCCTGCATCATCAGGCCTCAACATACACAACGGGAAAACCAAAGTACTCAAATACAACATGGAGAACAATCCAACCATATTTGATGACGAAACTATGGAAGATGTGGAATCGTTCACATACCTGGGAAGAATTATCGATGAACAAGGAGGATCAGATGCAGACGTAAAGGCGAGGATTGGCAAAGCACTGGCCGCATTCCTACAATTGAAGAACATATGGAACTCATAATAAATATCTATCAACCAATATCAAAGTGAGAATCTTCAATACGAACGTCAAGACAGTTCTACTATACGGGGCTGAAACATGGAGAACTACCACGACTATCATCGAAAGTGTATAAGTACTTATAAACAATTGTCTACTCAAGATACTCAATATCCGTTGACCGTATGCCATGATCAACAGCGTACAGTGAGAGAGGACAAGCCAGGTCCCATCTGAGGATGGAGTTAGGAAGAAGCACTGGAAGTGGATAGGACATACATTACGAAAATAATCAAACTGCATCACGAGGCAAGCCCTGACCTGGAATGCTGAATGGAAGCGGAAAAGAGGAAGGTCATAGAACACATTACGTCGGGAAATAGAATCAGATATGGCCTATGCTCCTTCACGAGGAGTAATAGGCATATATCATGGTATAACATCCTCAAGATGGTGATTGGAAGTAGTCAATAGGAAACTCTGAATCTAGGTTCCCCTAAGATTATAGGTACAGCTTGTTGACATGTGCCAAGTAGTATGTAACGTGGATTCAGGGGTTCTTGTTCACTACCTTCAATCAACATCTTATTTTAACATAGTGTTCGTGACGTTAGATCCCCAGAACTCACTTGGAAGAGGTCTTAATCTTGTAATTTTATTTAGAAAATTTGAATTTCTTCGTTTCGCGCAAAAAGCGCTCATTTACACTTCATGTCGTATTTTCTACTTGGGAGTATCTTAAAGGCCATTGATTCGTTGTGTCTTTTAGTATGCTATTTTGTAACACTTCCCAAGGAAATTTTTGTGCTGTATATATACGTTTGGCTTTGTGTCTGTTGTTATCGCTCTTGCTTTTGTCATTTTGCGGAATATACTTCCCCATTCGGACTTCGATTTCTCTCTCTAGTTCACAAGGCTGAGACGCAATAGAATAGCTAGTTTATTGATCTTTGGTCACAAGTCTTTGTTCCGTTCGCAGTCCAAGTGAACTCGTAACCGCTTCAAACCTAGAACATAGTGAACGCAATGTTGAATCACTATACTACAGCTTGATCGATAAGATTCGATCTACATTGAGAAGGATCTGATATATATGACAGTGATCACCATTCAGTGATCAATCAATTGTAAGTAATTATATTCTTTAGTTAGTAGCATTTAATGAAATCCATTAAGGGAGAATTAGTCCTAATGTTCGACTATTCAATCGAAAGAAATTTACATATGTGTCCTCATTGAGATGTAATCAGAACACTGAAAAACCAAAATACTATGTCACTTTCGATGAATAGTCCATTGGATAAAACGTCTATATGGAAATCACTATTTTTGGGAATTTAAGCTCAACTTATTCGTCAGTCGGAATACGATTTACACAATCTTAGCACTATGTCAAACCAATGACGTTCAATCAGTATGAGCAGCCTAGTGTCCTTATTGGTCCTATATCCGCCTAGCCCTGCCAGTTGAGTCCAGAACACCAATACGAGCTTCTATTATACGAATCATTTATTCCAAACATATTGGGTTTATATACCAGCCAAATAGACCGCATCACACCATAAAATAGGAAACAACATTTGTACAAGATCAAGCCAAAAGGTGTCTGTGAACGTGGGAGACGGTAGTTAATAAACTGAACATAACTTAAGAATAGTAAATCGTATTACAATAGTCTATAGGTTAAAATAAAGCTTATAATAAGAGGAATATAGATATACATAATCTAGTTACTGAATAGTCATGCAATATTAGTCCATTTACAGTTCATAGAAGTTACCCGTAATGTTTGCTATAATCCAGTGGTAAATACTAAGAATCCCTGGTACTTCTGTTCAAGAAGTGAGTATATCAATAATAATTGATCAATTCCCTTTTAATTGTCATGAAAAAGAAACATTTAAGGTTGTGACGACGGACCACCGGTGAACTCGAGGAAGCTGTAAGAGGCTCAGAAGGAGCCGAAGACGTCCCATCCAATCACCTTTCGGAAGAATGTTCTAGAATTCCAACGTGTAGCTTCCCGATTGGATAATGCTAATAACCCCCTGTATGCGGATTGGAAGACTGTAATGATGATTTCGTTCTCACTAAAAACTATAAATACCTGACAATTTTCTACTATGATTGACACTGTTTGGAATGGTATCCCTTTCATTAGTCTTCTGTCTTCTTATTGCGACTTGGAAGGGTTTTGGTGTTCTAGTGCTCTGTTATACGCGGTATATCGAGAAAATCAGCTTTTCAAGATATAACAAAGGTCCTTTACATAATGTCATACAAATGACGGAATATCATTTAAATACTATGTGGTTGGTGGCGGGGGGGGGGGTAGGAGATATTCATTTACATAGTCTTAATCATTTGATTCATTCATTGTTCATGTCAGAAGGGTTTTGTGGATATTATGGTAATTTCAATGATTGATATCATGAATCAATTGAAGCTAGACCACCATGGAAAACTTGGAAGCACTCAAGGGCCGTTTCGTCCTGTTTTTATATATTTTACTCTTCAGAAATCATACCCAATTTAAATGATTATTGCAGTTGCTATACAGATTTCTAAATTGTGGTTTATTGAAATCTTGTATTTTATAAGTCCGAGTAATAAAGATACTTGCGGTTAATCAACTTATCTTCTAGTGTTTATAATTGATATTGAAGAATATGAATAATAGGGCTGTTTATAGACTGCCTAAAGATTACCGTAACGGAATTCGTAGTGCCGAAATGAATGTAACACTATAAAACTACATTACTTACTTACTTAATTACGCCTGTTACTCCCAATGGAGCATAGGTCGCAGACCAGCGTTCTCCAACCCACTCTGTCCTGGGCCTTCTTTTCTAATTCCACCCAATTCTTGTTCATTTTTCTCATGTCTATCTGCATTTCGCGGCGTAATGTGTTCTTTGGTCTTCCTCTTTTTCTTTGGCCCCAAGGATTCGATGTGAGGGATTGTCTTGTGAAACAGTTGGGTGATTTCCTCAATGTGTGTCCTATCCACTTCTAGAGCTTCTTCTTAATTTCTTCCTCCACTGGGATCTGGTTTGTTCTCTCCCATAGTAGGTTGTCTCTGATAGTGTCCGGCCATGAAACTACATAAGATCCATTATAAAAAGATACCTCTAGAAAATTAGTATTCCTATTTCCTCTTCTTGGATTAAGAAACTATTTTGTCTTTAAATTTCATTACGAATATGTAATGTACTATCCTGCGTGTTAATTTTAATGAAGCGTCCAACTACACGTTTGACATATACTTGAATATAAGGTTCGCATACAACGATCTGTCTAAAAAACAGTTCTATTGTGTTAAGGAATACAGATAAGCTGTCTACAAACATCAACTCGTTAAGTATCTATGGAGATTAATGTATCTGTATGTTTGAAAAGAGAAAGGCTTTCTGTATTGATAACACACAAATTAATTGTAACATACGATAGCGTAAATGGCAGTTGGTAGTTGTCTTGCATCACATCTGAATCAGATCCACCGTGTTCATTAATGACGCTGCCCAGATATATAAAGGTTTTTGGTGAGACTCTAATTTATGGACGACGACCTGTGAACGAATCTTAAGTAACCTTGAGAACTATTAGCCAATCAGCAAACAGTCAGTATGGAGTAAAAATATGTTATACAAAACCAAGGAAATAAA